TGTTGATATGAAAGGTGTCGGAATTACCGAGATCCCAAAACCCCTTAAGATCCAAATTATCTAATATTAAATTAAATAATACACATCAAATAAATAATCTTTCAAATTTGATAGCAAGTATCGCTAGAAGTTAATAACTTTCAAATGACTTAAAGCTTATTTAGCCTAATCAAGAATAAGTTTTCTTTCAAGATAATCGCATGCTTATTAAACTTTTCCTGGACTACCACTTTTAGAGCCTTATACCAGTCTATAAGTTATTTAGAATTTAGGCATTCTAGGAACATAGGTACCTCTACTCCTTGAAAAGATAAAGATAAAATCAAATTTTTTCTCCCATCTCTTTTACAAAATTAATCTGCAAACCCTTTTTCCTAAAAATCCCCATAGTTTAATTTCACTAGATTTCTAAGGTTTTCTCTTATAACATTATTTCCTGGCAAATATCTTAAATTCATATTTCCTTCTAAATCTAGTATTTAAATGTAGAGCTATCTCTTTTCAAAGTTATTATGAACTAAAAATAGAGTTTCCTTTTAATCAATCAGGTATTGCATTTTTTATTCAAAGCTCTCTGCGACTTTTATTCTTTCAACCCCCATTTGCTATTTTTATTAATGAATCAGACCTCTTGGTGAAAACTGTCTTTGCTCGAAGTCCTTTAGCTTTGTATTTTTCTCATCTTAAGCTATTTCAATTTCGATCGATTCCTTGATATTTTCATTGCCCTTCGTTGTCTTAAAATCAAAAGGCATTCGATCATTAATCCTTTAATTTGGAGAATCAACAGTATTTGTCCTTGATTGTATTTACCTCAACTTATCTCTAAACAAAAAGCTTGATATTGGATTCAAATTATTAGATGGCCTATTTTACAAGAAGTCAGTAAACCTATATGAAAAACTTTATCTGACTCCATCATGAATAATTGATGTGTCAACAGCTTGTTTATATTCGCCGATCTGGCTTTACATGCTTTATAGACTACTTTGGACTGAATCAATTCCCAGAAACTCCTTAACTTGGCTAGAATCTAAACTTCCATTATCAAGCTATGAGGTACTGTCAACCTAAAGGCCTAGGTTAATGTGAGTTTCATGACTTTCACTAGTGTTTCTATTAGGAGAAAGTATCCTAAAATTAATTTATTCTGGCTTTTCTATAAGCAAATGTGCCCTCGTTTGAATATGCTAATGTTCTAATTGATCTTTTCTTGATTTTATCTGATTCTTTAGAATTTACTCATTTTTAAGATAATCCTAGAACTCATCAATTATTGATGAAGGCACGAAGGAATCTTTACCTTCTAATAGTGATTAGAGGCATGTCTCTTGCTCATCTTCTTGATACCGCTCTAAATCTTGAATTTACTCCTCTGCTTGTTTAAATTCTTCTAATATGTTTTAGAATTCCATATCAATGCCTGAGATGAAATTAAGCTTATTCTGAATGAATGCATTTCTATTGATTAAATCCTCTGATGCTGAGTACAATTAATTCTAATATACTCTTAAATTGTTCTTCAAATCCTACCACTACTGCATGATGACTTGCTCGTAGATGCTAAACTGCTTGTCTGTAAATTCTTGAGATTAGGATATGTGATTTGCTATGAATTGTTCATATTTTTCTACTTGAATATACCTTGGGTAAGAAGATTAAATAGCTGCTCTAATATCCTTATTCCTTTCAATGAGGTGATCTTCAATTTACCTTTGAGACTTTATATCCTTATTCTGGGTATATTGACTCAGGATTCTTAGGTCTTTAGTGGTATTCTAAGATGCTTATGATGTCATGTGGGAGCTGTTATTGTAGGAGTTATTGATTGTCATATTCTCGTAAGATTCTTGATTGATGTTTTATTTATCCTCAAAGTCTACAATATAGTAGTATCTATGCCTTATTTGATTGAATGATACTCTCTAGTTAGTCAGTGGATCTATCAAATAGGGTTTTTGGTAGCATTCTGATTCAATTTCAAAACACTTAGGACTATTCTGGAATAAAAGGATAAGCAAGTTGTAAAAAAGTGATGCTGGACACTAACTCTACAATCTCTCTTAATTTTTGCAAACTTTTTCAGAGTACGATTAAAATATTAACACCCTTGTTTTCTTTGAATGCTTGTCTGTGACCACAATTACCTTTGGCTCTCTCATTGAGCTACTTTACTAGCTTCTCGAGTCTTCGTTTGATACGATACAAGAATCTTGCTGGGGATTGGAGTCATCAAGATTAGAGTATGTTGATCTGATCTGCATTTTCAAGCTATTTTGCTGATAATCCATTAAATTTTATTTTACATCCTCATTCTAACGACATATAGATTACTCACATCTTCGGGGTTTTGGGGTTTTGGGGTTTTGGGG